GTTGTTGTTGCTGCTGCTGCTGATGATGATGATGATGATGATAATGAAGCATATGTGAAGCATCCTGAAAAATGTCCTCATTTTAAAAAATTATCAACAATAATGGCAAAAAGAAGCTTATCAATAACTTCCATATCACATTTCTATCATACCACTGAAACGAACGATTCTGGTTCCCATATAACTACATTCAGTTATAATTATCACATCTGATGTGCTTGAAATGAACTGTCCAACACTTAATTATCCATGAAAGAAACTAATCATTCTTACTTTACCCTCTATTATCACATTATCACAAATACATACCAAATCTTTTGTTGTACCATTTTTGTTTCCATTTATAATTGTCATTGCAATCGGTCCATCAAAGGATGTTTCCAAAAATTTTTCATTGCAATTTTGATTTAAATTTTCAGAAATATGATTTACTGCTTGATATTGTATTTCAGGCAAACATTGTTGACTTGAATCTTTTCGAGTGACATCACTTACTGTTGATATTACAGAAGTATCATCAGTCATTGTTGATAGGGAATTTACAGAGGATTCAGAATCATCAACTTTGATGATTGTTGATAGCATTGCAGAATTTGATGTTATCTGATGTTTCGCTTGAATTTTTGGCTTTTTATTTGTTGTAACAATCATATTTTCTCTTCCGCCATCAGATATCAACTTTTCAGATGGATGAATTGCTTGACCAGATGATGATGGAAGAAGCCATTTCTGTTCTTCTTCATCTGAAGTACTTGGTTTCGGAATCGGAAATAGTTTCTTCAGTACCGGTTTTGGTGATGTTGGTGGACGTTTATGAAGTGAAAAATTTCTATGATTTTGTTTCTCAGCAATAATTTCCGCTATTGATTTTTCACCATTAAGACCAAAAATGTTGACACCAATGAGAGATGGTTTTGATGGTGTTTCTGGAGTTTTTGTTTCTTTGTTGCCTTCATTGTCTAACATGAAATCGGAATCCTGATTTGTTACGGTTGAATGTAATTTCGATGGCATATTCCACATTCCAAATTGCAACTGTTTTGAATCAAGCATTTCAACTAATTGTTTTACGGATTTCTTACTATCTTTTGATTTTGAAGATTCAGTGTTCTCGTCAAACGTCTCCATGCGGGATTCTTTTGAATTCAAAGAAGTTAGGGAAGTTCCAATGGGAATTTGCTCATCCAAGGCATCATCCAACTGTTTCAATGCTTGATGAATTTCCATCTGATCTTTGAAATCGATAACCTTCGCTTCAAAGCCATCTGTACCAATTGTCATATCCTGATTCTCATATAACGATGATGTTATCTCCCGGGTATTTCGAGAAACAAAAGCATCATAAGCAGCTTCCTGCTTTTTCAAATCAGGATATTGAAATTGTACTGATGTTGGTGTAAATGGTGTTACGGGTGATATAGTTTCGGTAGAGTCTGATGACGAAATCGGTGTAAGTTTCTTATGCTTCGGTAGCATTAAAGAATTTTTGATGCTATTTTGATTATCTTTTTCTTCGAAATCTGATGCCAAAGTATATGATATCGATTTCACATCATCTGATGCTTTTTGGCTACCTTTCAAATCTAATTTCAAGTTATCTCGTTTCTGAACTAATTGTTTTCCATCTACCGTACCAGGCGGAATAGTGAAATTATTCAAATTATCATATGTTTCGATATTATGGATGTAAGCGGCAACATTTTTAGGATTACATTCCTGATTTTTCATGGTTGATTCTAGACATAATTCTGTAATATTATCATTAGCAGTAGAAGTAGTAACGGTAATAGCATTACTATTCCTATCGGCGATATTTTTCTCGATCATATTGAAAATATTTCTGATAATTGGATCATGTGATAGTTCTGTAGCAACAAAATTATTAGCATTCGATTGTAAATCTTCAATATGTACCAAATGCCTGAAAAATTTATTTAAAAAAGAAAAAAAAACTCGTTCGAAACAAACAAAATTTGTAAAATTATGTAATGATCGTTCAATAATAATTTGCTAAAGGTGTTTTAAAAGCTAAAATTTTACTGAAATTTAAAAAACTTGAAGAGGACTTTTAAAAATAAAAATAAGGACAAAAAAGGATACTCGAAATGGGTAGGTGTTGACACTTCTTCCGGTTTTACTTTTGCTGCTTTTCGTAATAGTTTTTTGCTGTTGTCTGAAAAAAAAAAAACAAAAAAGATCATGAACATTTAATCGTAGCAAATTGTATTATTTATTACGATTAAATCATATAATAATTTTCATTACAGTAATACCAATAATTAGTAATGATCAATACTATTAATGATTATTTAATTATAGAATGTCAATAACTATTTGACTGCAAAAATTGTTTGCGACTATTTAATTACATGATTTTTAACAGGGATACAAATGATGACAATAGTGATAGTAACTAATAATTATATGGTTGCAGTAGCAACAGTAACCTATATCAATACTAAGTATACTGTTGCTAAAATATCATTAACAGTGTTGTTTCTTACCAATAAATTCTTTTAGTTTTTAATTTTATGTTTAATTTCTAAAAAATTTTTCTAATATTTTAATTTCAAGTGATTTATTTTAAACTTATCAAATGGAAATTTATTTATTTTAATTTGTTGTATTATAATTTACTTTTCAACCTTAAAGCTATTTTTAAAGTAAAGAAAAATACAAACTCATTATATTGTCTTGTAACATCAAAACTTTCGTCTTTTTTTAATAATAATTAAAGGAAAATTAAATTTAGAGTTACTTTTTTTTGCATGTTTAAAATTGATATTTACTCCAAAAAAAAAAAGGAAAAGAAAAAACACTAATTGGTAAAAAAAAAATTGTAAGAAGAGTTTCTGATGATAGGTTGTTGCTTAATCGTTTCTATTTCAAATAAGGATATATGATATGATGTGGCATAACCAATTAGGCTATTTTCAATCAATTTGGCTCTTTTTAATCAATTAGGCTCTTTTTTGATCTAAATTCATTCAAATTACTGCATACTTTGGCTAAGTTGACTGTTTGAAACACTATCCGTTGTGATACAAATGCTTTCTGTTTCACCCATGCGTTTATAATTTTCACCTGCTTGAATCTGAAAAAAAAAAAAAGAAACAGAACATATATTTCCTTTTTTAAGCTCAACATATTTTAAAAAAAAAAAGGAAGAGAATTAAATAAAGTAAAAAATTAATTTGAAATGAAGAAAAGAAATTTCTTTTTAAATAAACGCAACGAAATATTCTTACGATGACACATATATTCACAAATCATAATTAAAATATTTTGAGGATAATTTACTGTAAAGTTGATTGTTATTTTTGAAAGAAAAGAAAAGAAAATTTTGTTTTCCATTCGAGAACAGATGAAAATATAATTTCAAATCATTCATATCATTTT